TGTCCTTTGATTACTAAATCTTCCGCTGCGCTGCTTCCCAGCCCATGATGATAATGATACGAATGTGTTGTTGTTGAATTCTCGTTGGTTCACTCTTTGCATCGTGCACATTGGCATCTTGTGAATGTTGCACCTATGCTGCTGGTTGTTGCCACTTTCGTCATTGCTAGATCCTAGGCTCTCAGTGCATTTCACTTCCTGATATGCTACAAGTGGTATCGGAGCTAGTGCGGTGAATCTTGGCAACAACCAATCAATCGATTGATTGATTGGATTGGTGAATTGCCACCAATCAATCTTCGATTGATTGATCAGTCAATCAGGAGATTGATCGAACAATCGATCAATCAACCATCAATCATCTGAGATTGATTGATTGATTGATTGATTGATTGATTGATTAATTAAGTTGATTGATTATTTGGCAATTTTTTATTTAATCTTGTAAATTTCCCAGAATTAATTATTTAGTTATTTTTTTTTTCCAAGAAATTATTTTTTTTTGGAGAAAAATTTTCGGAGATATTATTTCTTTTTTCGAGAAATTTGTTTTCGAGAAATTTGTTTTCGAGAAATTATCCCTCTACACTTTCATTGTGTAGGTCTGCAAATTCCGATCTCTTTTCAAAAAAAAAAAAGAAAAACGGCAAATTTTTCCTTTTTTGCAACCTATTCCTACTTTGAGTTGTAAAGATTCTTCTTTTCTGATTCTCTGCAGTCCGAGCCCGAAGGTTCACATTTGCTTTCTGCATCACCTTCGGTACTCAGTGGTATTGGACAGTCTTTTTTTTGAATTTTTGATTTTTTTTTTATATATTAGGAAACTGTTCAATTCGGAATCTGTCCGATCATTCCCACTTGTCTGCTGCCTACCTGTTCCTCCCCCTCTCCCGGGCACGACAGTGCATGCCACCGCTCACTCGATCACAAACCAAGGCCATGGACTGCAAGGCGGGAGAATCACTCCTAGCCTACGAGGAACGCCTGGCTGCTTTCATCCAGGAGGCCAACGATAGGGCCGCCGTCGCAGCCAAGGAACGTAGTCAGATTGAGCACGAAGAGGAGGCCAAGCGACGGAAGGAGGAACAGGACCGACTTCGTCAAGAGGAGGCAAACCTGCAGGCGGCAGCCGAACACCGGTCACGCCAGCGGTGTCGGCGCGAATACCCTGGCAGGGGTATTCGCCATGGTTTCTGCAAGTGACAGCGGGGCCTATGGCCCTGGCCTTGGTGTTCAAACGGCTACCTGGGCACAAAATCACGCCAGGTATATTCAGAGTTGAATAGGAACGGGAAGTGCTCACCTCGTTTGTTCGTTGTCAGAGCCGAGCGAGTGGTCGGAGGGGCTTCCGACCAGCTGTGCTACGCGGAGAGAGAGGGAACTTGGACACTAGTTAGCGCTAGGTACGGTCGGGAGTGAGGGCGGAGGACATAGGGGCGCAAAGTGGGGTAACTCGGTCAAGTCCTGACCGTCCCCGACAAAGGAAGAAGCTACCATAGGGTTCCAAAGGGGGGGGGGTGCGATCTCGGATCCATGTCTAGATTAGGTTGGGAGTCAGCAAGTCAGGAGCTACAAGGGCATAGTCGTTCGTAAAGAACGTGGGGGAGGAAAAACGGACGAAGGAGGAGCGACGCTGGCCCACTCGTGTTCTGACCGGCCTTGATGAAGTAAGATACCCGACTAAGTTTTGAGCCAGGCAAGTTGGGTTATGCTGACAACTGAACAAGAAGTTAGTGGGCGTGATGATAGGAGAGGAGTAGCCTATGCGGAGCCATGACGTGTGGGGAAGAGACGGTAGACGCAGGGCGTTCTGAGCTGTTGCAGCAGTATGGCACGGATTGAAGCGCGGACACGCGAAGGCCTGCGAAGAATGCC